ATGATTTGTTAATTAATAATGCTCATTTTGCATAAATTACACAATTAATTTTATATTAAATTCAATTTATATCTTCTTCGCGTGACAGTCACAACGCGTTTAATAATTTATCACATCTTCTAGAAATTATACAAAAAATGTTATAGAATTTAATAATAAGTATATATTCTTGTATAAGAGTCATCCCCTACTTTTTAAATAGCTCAAATTTTTTAAATCCTTATAATTATTTCCGTAGATGATAAAGTCATAAGGATTGTAGTAAAAATTAAAAAGATCAATCGACGTGATCAAAGGGAGACTTCAATTGAATGTGACATTTTGCACGGAGACAAAGTGGAGGTGAATTCGATTAATCGTTGAAAATGTCACGATCGGTTCACGACACGATCGTGCGCTTCGCGATCGCGAATCGAAGGAGGGGTCGGTGAACTCCGGTAGAAGTAGAAAGTCTTGAAAATGTCAGGGCAACGGGGGAGGGGAAAACGACAGTGGTTCTCCAAAGTAGGTTTATTTCTCTCTCTTTCTTTTTTTTTAATGCACACTGCCAACATTGATTTTAAAGATTCTCTCTTATCTGTATTTATAACTTCAATTTTTAAATATCTATTGACGGTATTTCCTTTTCCATGCGACATTCAAACCCTTAACGTTTTTTCAACAAGATTAATATCTCACAACTTCGGTTGGGCAGTTTGCACCATTAAGTTTGACATATATACATGTACTATATAAATTGAAATTTAAAAATTGAATTCTAACTTCGATGACTATAAATGGTAATTCAAATAGACGTCGGAATCGCAAGAACTTTTGCACGGTTAAATTATAAGATTACTGACAGATTGCACTTACCGACGAGTAGACACAAGGATCCCAGCAGAAATATCAACTTCGGCGACATCGTCGTCGTCGTCAGGACAGAGAACGTCTGGACAAGCCGCGCCCTCTCCACCCCTCTATATGTGCACCACCACTCCTTCCCTCTTCATCCTGGGACTTTCACCTTCCGGATCGTGCTGCCACCTTTCAAGTGGGCATCAAGAAAGAAGCGAAGTCCTGTTTATCAGAGAAGACGAAAAGTGGGCGAATAATTAAGTCCTACTATCATTGGAAATTTTGTTGCAAAAATTATTACATGTATGATAATCGTTACAATGGTACAATGGTACATACGAAGATTTATTTTACTGAAGTAAAATCTAAAAATGTAGACAGACACAAATCTGAAAATAATTTTATTAGCCCATCAAAATAATTCTATAGAAAACTTCTATTTAAGTACTGCTTAAGTAGTTTTGATATTCTAATCATCGATTTGAACAACCCACAGAACTATTTTGATTGTCCAACAAAATTATTTTCAGATCTAGCTAAATTTTTAGATACTTCAGCAAAATCATCCTATCAATATGATTATTGCAATAACATTTTTCCAATTTCACCTGATGTCGACGAAGGAAGATAAACGTAGCATAATCTTTAAACTTATAAATATGGACTCATATTTAGAACATATTTTATTTTTTAAATTCTCTCTCTCTCTCTCTCTCTCTCTCTCTCTAATATATATAATAAAAATATTTTGTATTTTATATTTGTATTAGAAACAGTCTACTCAAGTTCTTGTTAAAATTTTGTGTTGAATTTTTAATATGTCCGAGGGTTAATTTTTAACATAATCTGATTGTGTTATTTGATTATTTTGTGTTAAATGGATATTTACCATTTTTTATAGTGTTAAAATAACACAATTTATGTGTAGGTGAAAACAACATAAAAATAATAATCTTTTTAAAAATAAATTTTAAAAAAGAATAAATAAAATATATTACATTATACGTATTTTAGAAATTTATTGCGCCAGATTAATTTAATGTATTATAAATGTTAAATTTGATGTGTGTGAAGAAATATTTGCTTACAAATTGTGTTAATATTATATTTTTTGTATTAATTTCTTATATAATGCTTGCGTTATCTCCTTACGTATTCATTTTATGGTAAATTTAACGCAAATTGTCTAATTGTGTAATGTAAACTATAATTGCTAATACGCTCTAATAGTTCTAAGCGCATTCTGTGTACGAGCCATAATCTTTAAAACAAAGGCAAAATGAAAATCTAGGATTTAGAGAGATAGGACGCGGGTTGAGTGTGGGATAGAATACAGAATTAATCGTTTGCACTCGGATCCTATTTTCTACCTGGCTTCATTATTTATTCTTTATTTTTGCGCCACCGACTTGCCCGATGTGTAAGCCATTTTTAACTCGGTGGATTACTAGATTAGGCAGGCTTTTTCCTCGGACAAAAATCGCATCAGCAATGCTGCACGGCAGACTCTGGATTTATGACGTTGTTTTGCATATCTAAGAGAATTAGAAGATTTAGCACTTAAATCCCTAGAGAGCTTTATATTTAAACATCGATTAGTACAACGAAAATAATCTTTTCAGTACAAGTGTGTCACTATATCCATTATTCAAGGTCCAAGCCGTAACTTTTATCACCGCACATCGAGAAGTGAAAACGAAATCTTTTACGAAGCTTCTTTTTATGATTCTCATGAAAACGGTATCCGGAAAGCGATGTCGCGAATGAAGCCTTGCACTCATAAACCTGAGAAAGTGTCACTCGCGCCGCCGTTACTTTCATCGAGAATCATACTTGACGATGCACTTAAGTGTCATTTCAAGGCACAGTATCAAGGAGTATCAGGATATTTACAAAGTAAACTGAACGTATAGCCCCCATTAAGGAGAATGCGTTATGGACACCCAAAGAGAGTTCTGCTTGAAAACGGAACATCCGCGCGTGGGAAGAGGAAAGTTATTCGAACAAGAGAGATATAATTTGAGATGTAATGTTCGATTCCACAGTCATATATATATATATATATATATATATATATATATATATATATATA